CACAAAGGAAATGTATCGCTTCTGAGTTTGGCATGCCATCTAACCATGCCACCTGCCACCTGCCACCCACAACCACCCAGTTGGGGGCGGGGTGGGCGTGTTCCCGGCTGAGGCGTCACCGTCGTGCGTAGCACATTTTCCGCATCAATGCGCGTTTATTTTACTGCTAAAGCCTTTACGAATGAATGAATGAGTGCTTCGAAAAAAGGCAGTAACTGCCACCTCCTCGCCCCCTTCCCCCTTCCCCCTTTCCCCCCGAACACTCTAAACTTTCAAGTAGCTTACGCCTCCAGCTGCCTTTTCTTACTTCCTTTTTTGTACTTTTTTTGGTTATTTGCGATGTTTTTGTTTTAGTGGAAACGGAAGTGGGGGACAGGGGACGGCGACGGTAGGCGGTAGACAGAGATGCACATTTCCTCAATGGGAAAATCCTTTCCGAGAAAAAGCGAAGCAAGGTCCAAGTAAGATAATAATATGAAACAAATGCTTTTGCCGAGTCTGGGTGAACATATTTATTGATTTCCGGTTCCAGTTGCCCAGCCCAGTGAGTGGAAAGTGTAATTAAAAATAGGATTCAAGGCTGCTGCCATTTACTCCGCATAGTTAATGTGCGCAACGTCAGTCGCAGTGCTAAAATTAAATTATTTAGTCGCCACTTATGAATCGTCCTTGAAGAACTTTGAGAGGATAGCTCATCCCTCCATCAGGGATTTGAATCTCTTAGCGAGACTGTCTTTTTGTAGGCTTTAAGTCTGCATCGGTTGTATGTGGAATTAAGTCCTATTTAGTTTTACAATTTGACTGCTTATAGGTTTCATATTTACCTAAATATAGGTTTCATTTACTTTCATGTTTTCATAGCTGGTATATCATTAGGCTTAATAAATTTAAAGCCTGCGAAAGGAAGCTCTGCTGACTCATTACAAAGTCTTGGCTACATCTTGAACATTTCCAGATAATATTTCAGGAATTAGCTTACAAATCGAATTAAATAAGCGACTGAGCAAAAACACAAACAACCAGCAACACGACCTACTTGTGCGTTTTTCAACTTGACTGCACCGCAACAACAACATGGAGAAAAGCGGGAACAAGAACAAAAGCACTTGCAGGAACAATAAATTTATGGCTTTTAAAAATGTTTAACTCAAACTTCCCACCCCAACGACCGAAATGTTAGCCATGTTTGCGGTGGTTGCTTTTGCTTTTGTGTCGCAGATTTATGGCCGCCAAAAGTGGGGGAAATGGGAAAAGGCGAGGGAAAACTTCACAGTGGCAGTGGCAGCAAATAAACTTTACGATTTCTAGGTAGTCAAATTGAATAAATGTTAAGACAATTGCCGACTGTGCCCGCGTCCATGCCATCCCGCATCCCGCATCCCGCATCCGCAACCAAAGGCTTGCCATTGGCCTTCACCTGGCGCTCCGAAATACCCTTCATCTCCATTTCGCGGCACCAACAATCAAACATGAGACCCATCTCCGAACTTCCGAACTTCCGGCTGACGCAATCCGCTCCACACCCGAAACCCCCTCCAGTGTGCGCCATCAAATGTCGGTGCGAATTTCATTAAAATAAACTTTTTCCACAGAACTTTGGCACTCGGCGAGTACATTTTCATTTTATTCGCCGCGCCAAACGACACCGAGAAAAAAATCGAAATCACGGCTCGGCACTTTTAGTCCAACCCTCGACCCTCGACCTCCGACCCCCGCCCCTCAACCTCAAACCCCCTCCAATTGGCTGGGTTTTTATGGTCGTCGGCACTTTTTACGGCCACCAGGAGCAGTGGCATTCGCCTCATTTCACTGCTGAGCGAGATCTCTCTAATTTGAATACCTGGCCGAGGACGAGAATCTGCTCGGTAATTTCTGGCGGGGCTTTGCCGCGAGTTTCGCCGATAACATTTGCATCGCTCTTTATTGCTTTTAAATGTCTGCCGGCCGCCCAGCAAAGCCTTTCGCCATAAAAACTAGAAGCGCGGAGCATTGAAATTTTGATATACGAATTGTTTTTACAGCCGCAGGCATCGGGCCACGTCTGGCCCAGATTCCGCCCACTGAAGGCTCCGAGCAAAAACCCCCCAATTACTTATCAGCGAGCATAGTCATCCTCTGCAGGAGGAGTGGAGTGCACCTGACCCGCCGGCGGATGATGAACTGTTGGTGGACAGGGAAGTGGAGCACAGAGTGCGAGTGCCAAGAGCTAAGTGCCGCTTCCGGTGGTCGCTGGTCCACAAAAAGCTGCAGGTCCGAGCCATAAATTTGCAGGCAAAAAGCTGAAAGACTTACGGTGCAGCCCCCATTACCGAACCTCCGGATGAAATTTACGCCGGCTGCAGTGAAAGAAATGCGGTGTCCTGGGCATAAAAACCTCCGAAAATGCTTGGATCTGCATTTCCTGCACTGGCAAAACTGCGCTAAGCATTCTAATAAATGGGCACATGTGAAATTCCCCAAGTTACCTGTTAGGATCGGACGATCTTAGCAGATATTTAAGATCTTTAAGATACACTTTCTACATTTTTGGGCTTCCGGGACCAGGAACTTTCGCAGAGTGCAGCCATGTCCCGCCTCCTACAAAACGCGGAGCCATCGTCGCCTGGGCCCAGTTATTGTTGCAATTAATAAGGACGTCGCCAGCGGCAAAAAGCGACGGCGTCTGCCGTGCGTTGCCACTTGGAGGGCGGAGTGGTGGATGGTGGATTGTGAATGGAGGATGGAGGTGGCCACTCATCAGCGGATGCAGGAGGCTGACCCCTGGACACCCGTAGCCAAGTCCTCCGCCGTCGCCGCCGCCGCCTGACCCGCGCACAGAGCGAATATTTACTGCCCAAGGAGAGGGACGCGGAGCAGGATGAGCGACTGCAGCAGCCGAGTAAAATGTCCTCTGCACATTACATTTGCATTGCAGTTACAAGCATTTCGCATTTATCGCAGCAGCGGCGGCAGCAACAACAAGACGAGCCCCGCTCGCAGGAGCAGATGGAGATGGAGAAGGAGGCGGTGGCGAAGTTGCAGGATCCTCCGGAGCCGGGCAAGAATGCAGGAGGAGTCTAACAATGGACGGGCAGAAATCTCGTCGCCAGCGTCGCTAACAACTCGTAGCATTGCAGCTGCCAGATGTGGTAAGAATAGAGATGTGGCGCGGAGTGGGTGGGTGGTGGTTGGGTGGTTGGGTGGTTCGGTGGTGCAGGGGCAGGGGCAGGTCGAGGGCAACATTTATTGTTTGCAAAGCCTTGTTTATTATTTTACGTGCATTTCTCTTGCCAGCTTCAGCTTCAGATCCAGAGCTTCAGCCTCGCAAGGACTCTTTATGATTCACTCGGTCGCTCCTTTTGGTCGAGGACATTTTGTAAATAGCAATGCAGTGGCCCGGCCGCCTGACTTGGCCCGGGATGCGCCCATCCTCCGCCTCCTCGAGTGGCGGCAGCGATTTTATTCACTCGCCGCTGTTTATGTGACCCGGATCATCCAGGCTCCCGGGCTGGTGCACCTCGTCTTGGTTCGGTCTTGCTCCTTGGCCCTCAATGCGGTTGCTTTATGTTTTTAATGCCGTGCGCCAAAAGTCCTATTGTTTGTACACTTGTACTTTATGTACCGAGCGAAATTTATGCGCCGCTAAGTGGATTCGTGGATTCGTGGATTCTTGGATGCTTGGATGCTTGGATGCTTGGAAATCGCGGATCCGAGGACTTCACCCCGCACCGGCATCTTGGCTCTCCCGTTTCCGGTTCCTGCATCGTTGCCTGCCAAACAGGAAATGCAATCCTCGCTATCCATAAAACTTGTCCAAAATCTGGCGACCTCCAGCCTTCGCGCAGGATCTCGGCCTTAAGCACGAGAGGCATTACAATTATCCTGCGCGTGTCCGAGTCCTTTGCTGCCTCCTCATCCGTCCAATTATTGCGCCGTCGAAGTAGCAAAAGAAATTTGCGTTTGCACGAAATGAAAGTTGGCCTTTCGCAGCTCCTCCTCAATGAGCATGAAGTCGTAGCCAGTGCAAATCCTCAATTAGCACTGGGACAAAACGGAGTCCTGTTGGAACCTGGAAGTCGGTGAAAAGGACGGAAAGGTGATTTCTGCTGCTAATTGGAAATTGAGGGGAGCGGCTGAGATAGAAACTGACCCGCCCAAGAAGCGTCACAAATGTTTGTTCTTTTGCAGGAAATTAAGCCGAATGTAACAATCGAATTAGGCCGAGTTGGGGCAAAGGGCACAGACCAACCCAGAAGCCATCATCCACCCCCGATGCAAACCGGTGGAGAAACCGATTTGCCACGTTTCGTTGGCGTCGGCATTTAAGGGGCCGAAACAACCGTTTGACCTTCAATGACGGTCCCAAACTTCAAATTGATTTTTTATATTCATTGGCATCGGGCTCGAAGCGATGGAGTGGGTTTGGGATTGTGAACAGGAACAGGGACCAGCAATTCTCATAAATTAAACATGCCCCACATAAACTAAAGTGAAAAATGCGAGGGCCACGCAGAAAAAGGGGGGAAACCGAGCATTTAACTGTATATTTGAAATATTTTAAATATAAATTTCAATATTTAACTGCGCCCGCCGACAGGAAACGCTTGCCGGACAGCACGGCAACAACTACGGATACGGAATCGGAATATGGAGCGGACTCGGGAGCGGAAGAGGCACTCGGGGGGCGGGGCCACTGGCCAGGAGAGCGGAAATGATCCATCGACCCTCGTGCTGTCGTCCCAAAACGGCCATGGGTCCAAAAAAAGGTTTCCTCTGCCGCAGTCCGTCCGTTCGCTCGGTTCAGACCACAAAAACGTTGAAAATATTTGTGTTTCCACTTATTTGCATTAATGCCACGAACCGATTTACTGTCTGTCCATTTGTGGGCGGTGGGCGGCTTTGTGGGCGCGGCCCAAAACACAACCACCGAGCGCCGAACATGAGTTCAGGCCAATAAATAAGTGTGACTTTCGTTGGCATCCCGTGGCCTTTCATTTAAACTTCTACCTCCCATGGGATAGTGCTTTTTTAAATTTCATAGGCAACAAATCAAATCATTGGCAATGTGCGCGGCCCCTTCAAACTAAACCAAATTTTAAGTATTAGCAAACGCGAAATGGCGAACTCGAAATCATTCAAAGCGAGCAACTGGCCTGGCATACTGGACTCCAGGCACGCACTGAGGAAGTACTTCGCCCCGCCACCCAAAGTGGCTGGAACTCAGGGCAGACTACCCACCTACACGCCTCCGAACTACGCGGGAGCTGAGCCCATGCAGCAACCCAGGATGAACTCCGCCTGGCAGTTGGCCAGCGATCCCTCTGATCTGTCGGAGCTCCGTCCTCCCAAGCGGATCAAGGGATTGAAGGATCGGGAAAGGAAGAAGCTGGAACGCAAGGTTTGGGCCAGGCCAGCGAGGATGGATGCAACGAGCAGAGCTGCCACATCGGGACCAAGAGCTGTGGAGAAGGCCCAGAAACAGGAGCAGGTGGAGACGCCTCCGAAGCCGAGATCACCAGCGAAGAGAAAGTGGAAGAAGGGCACGACGCCATCTCCACTGCCTGGCAAGCGGCCAGCCCAAGTGCCATCCCACTCCGGCTTCCCGCGGCGCAAGATAATCCTGATCGTGGACGCCAAGAGGTCCCCAGGAACGGCGCACCTGGCTGGTGGAGCGGATAAACTTCTGAAAAACCCCTCACCTGGGCCGGAAAGAAACGCCTACCGTCCGAGACCCAAGATGAGTGGCCGGTCCAAGAGGAGCTACAATGTGCCGCTGTGCAGCCGGCCCACCGAGATCATAGGCACGCGCCTTCCCCACTCCCGCCAGTTGCAGATGCGCCAGGAGAAGCTCTGCCAGCAGCCGGAGTACCACGACCAGTACATCCGCATGCTCTACCAGCAGCAGCGGCACCAGCAGATGTGCCAGCAGGAGCAGCTGCAGCAGGACTTCGCCCGGCAGAGGTCCCAGATGGCCCTGCACCCCTACTCCATCCTGCCGGACGCCGTGTCCGAGGATCAGCGGGAGGAGCAGCGGCACCTGTACTCCGTGCCCTCCAAGTCGCCGCTCAAGAGATTGAGGGGCGGCAAGCGGCTGTGCGGCAACTTTTACTACGACTAGAAGAGTGATCAATAAACAAGTTCCAGAGCATTTTACAAGGCTTTGCTATTGAGGAAAGAACGGGGACACTTTTTCTAAAATCCTTTTCCAAATCCCCTCTTCATATCCACCAAACACCCAGTCGGATTGCTAACTGGCAATACTCTAATGATTGCTTACCGTTTATATCAATAGAAAAATGTGACGAATATAGATGATAAGTATTTTTATGGGGGTTACACCTTTAGGCCAAACACACGATTTTCCATCATGAGTTCCATTGCGAACTCACCTGCTTAGCAGCTGCCGTGTTCCCTTCCACTTTCCATGGACGTTTGCCCTTCAGTGACCTGAGAACTTTCCGGCATTTAATATACTCCAAAGTACTTGGGGTGGAGGCCATTGGGCTGGGTGGTTCGTTGGTGAGATGTGGGCGATGTGGGAGATGGTGGCCCCTGCACGCAGATACAATTAAAATCGAAACGAGCCAACAATGCAAACTGGCGAACAAACAGGCAAACAGCGAAACACAGCAATGGAAACGAGCAAATAATGAAGTGGATAAAGTTTGCTGAAACACTGAGCTTTCGAATCGAGCCCCAAATACGAAATTGAACCAGACCGAAGAGGAGGACAGGAGCAGCAGGAGCAGGAGCAGGAGCAGAATCCGGTGGAGCCGATGGTGGAGTTGGAATAGGAATACGAATAGCGATGTGGAGGGAAACCTATTTGTGTATAATTCAAGGTATCAGGGCATCGAAAGAGGGTGAAAGCGTGGCAAAACAACATGGGAAAACTTTTGTAATTACAATAAAATTTTCACAAATAACTTGCAATTGTTTGTTTTGGGCGGAGTTGAGTGGAAATGCGAATGCGAGAGGGGCGGCAGTGGGTGTGGGTCCTTCATTCGCAGCGAATGTGTTAATTTTGTTGTGTATACCCACAATTTTCATCTTCAAGATGCAAAAGTGCCAGAAGAAAATGAAAAGAAAACACCGCAAAAATGTCTCCGTGAGCTTTCTTCCAATTCCTCTCCAAAATAAATTAAAATATAATTAAAAAAAGAGAGCAAACAAAAAGTGAACTGTGAAACGTGAAACGTGGACCGGAATCGAAGTCCATCCGTCTGGGAGCTCCTCAGAACCGGAGATTGCGTGCCAGTGTGCTCCTGGCCAATCCAGAATTGTATATGGAACATTGTTTGCAAATTAATCTTCTAAAATGTCTGAGCTGTGGATGGAGATGGGATTGGGACTCCTCAGCTGGCCGGCAGTTCGGTTTGGATTCCTTTTCTATCTTATTTATGAACAGCAAGTGGATAGCTCGTTTTTCAAACAAGTATTTATGCTTCACTTGTGCGGTGTACGGAATGCGTGCGAAAATATTTGATTTTCGTTTTTATAAAATTACACAGTGCGATGGCAAGCGTATTTAGATGTTTAGATACGTGTGCGGAAGGAAATTAAAGAATAAATACGAACTGCATTCTGCAGGTAATCCAGTTACCGACAGGAAAATTGAGGTGTGGAAATGCAAAGCTCTCGAGCAGACAGACACGCAAACTACGGCAAAGAGAATCCCCAGCCATGGGCAAACATGGACAGCAACAATGAGCAACATCTAGTCATCCAAGCCGGCCTCCCTGGGAAACCCAAAAACCTCCCTACCGATGGCAAACATCGTAGGCTCTCAAAGAAAACGGGGAGTGGCCATCGAGGGGAGGCAAATGAATCTGAAGATTACGAATGTCTGCTGCTCGGGCCCATCTTCGAAAATAAGAATAACGCAATACACAAGTGGGAAAAACAAGTGAAGTACGCGGGGGGAGCACACTGCGAGAAAAGCCTGAGCACTTTCACTTCTCTTGTGATCAATTGCTAGCACTAATTGCAATTTTATGAGACAGCCCAAACACTTGTAGAATTTTTAAACTCTAGTACCAAAAGCAATTTAAAAAAAATGACTGAGATTTTTAGTATTGGTGTTTTTACTCAGTGCGGAAAATGCGGAAAGGAAAATGCTTCCGGGACAGGGAAAGTGAGGTCTACATGCAGACCTCGATTCAGGATTGATGTGGCGGATCCTGCCAGCAAACGGGAAGCGCGCTGCCGAGGGTATTCGAGTCCTGATGGATGGATGGAGGCTTAGCTTAGAAGCGATGTAGCTTAAGCCCGACGCCCCCAATTGGAGCTTTGCGAGCTCGGGCTGGAGCGGGAGAGGGGGGCACGTCATGAGCCTGGGCGGCTTCAATGCCTTGGGTACATAACTCTCGTTGTCGTTTATTGATTTGTTTTGCCCCAAGCCAGCAGTTCTGGGCGGGTGATACATAGCCCAAAAGCAGAGCCGCCAAAGGTGCCGACTAGTAAGGACCTCCCTGCCCCGCCCGTTGCATCTGGAAATGGGGAAGCACAAGAAGATTCGAGGACGCGGAACTATGTGCGGAAAGATGGGAGGCATGAATTCATCGGTCCTTCAGCTGGGTCATTCCTAGTGGGTCTGCTTCTCCTGTACTGCTCGCTGTGCTCAAGGACATCCAGTTTTTTGCAAGGCATGGGCTGCAAAGTCCACTCACATATATCGCCAAAGGTATAGTTCGAAAAACAAAATATTGTAAGATCCTGTACAGTCACTCAACTTGAGATATCGATCGTTCCTTGCTCCACAGATTCTTGTTACATGAGATTAGATTTAACAAACATAAGATCTCCACTTCACATCGTGCGTTGTTACACGTTTTTGCTTTTCAGTCGCTCTGCTGCTGATTTTCAGGAACTCCTCGATTGCGTTTTTAACAGCAAAAATGGCTATCAAGACTGTTTTCGTTTAGGCATCGCTCTCGTCTACTTAAGGGATTAGCGTTCACTTAACAAATTGAAGAGGCCGGAAAATTGGGCAGGATTATTGAATTGCTCACATTGCCACGCGAGTTCTCACGAATATTGCGTCGGAATACATAGATTTAATTTGGGTTTTATTGTGCCCCGTTTTTATGCTCTTCTACTCTTCAGACCTAGTCCCCTACACATAATTCTTTAATTTTAAACAACAAACTCCCTGAAATTCGCGTCTTCTGTTTGCAAATGGCATTAGGCGGAAAATTGCAAGGGAAGCGATCCCAGGGGACTTCAGAGTTGCGTGTAACAAGTGTTCCGAGGCCAGCATTCCACTCATATGGTTAACTGCCAGTATATAAGGTGATTCCCGTGCAAATGATATGAAAATTGCTGTCGTAAAAGGCGGGGGCGTGGCAGGGGCTGGTGCACGCGAAGGAAACGCAGATTAAAACTGCAAGTGGGTATGACGAAGACCATTTCCCTAGTCATATTTAGCAATTAGGGAGTAACCCCGATGCTCAAACTAAACCAGCTCAAATGGCAAACAAAACAAAGACAAACCACCACAAAAACGCTCGAACTTCAAACATTTTCCTAGGAAAGAGGCAGGTTCCATCGAACTTCTACTGCAAACCAGCTCAAACGGCCTGCGTATAACAGTTTCGCGGCTGGCTTATACTTATACGACGGTCGTAGCAGTGGATTTATACCATTTTCCGTAGAAGGCACATTTTTACTTATACTTATACTTATACCGCAGCCAGCTTGCCACTTATACGGTCACTCCTGTTGGCTATTGAGCTCGTATACAAAATATCTGAGTTGAAGTCATGAATATGCTGCTTATACCGTATGAGACTTGACTTATACTTGCACCAAAGCAGTAGAGTGGCTTATAAAACTCGCTTACAATGGTTGCTAGGCGTAAATAAATTAATAAAATGTATATTAGTTTATGAATCTTTTTTATTTTAAGATGATTTCTTTCTAGTAAGTGTAGTGCTACCTCTGTTGGTAAAAAGCAGCTCGCGAATATTATTAAACGTATAATTCGTATACTTATAATTTCTTATTGTCGTATATTTTATACACTTATACTTGTCTTATTTGTGCAGCTTATTAAATTATTCACAATTATTCACAAATATTATCGTTAGTATCTTGACAATCAGTGTCCTAGCATTAAAACATCAGTTTAATAAATTTTGTCATTTTTTTGTGTAACTTTTTTGACTTTAATTACCTAATTAATACAAATAATTAAAATTACGTTAAAAACAACTAAAATTTCCACCAAGGGATACCATTTTAGGTCCCTTGAATTGTATTTGATTTAAATTAAAAGATATTATTTGTTGTCTTATATTTATGCGCAGTATAAGTGGTCTCAAAACGAACTGAAAACTCAAATAGCGACTGAGTGTATCTTATACCCACGGTATAAGTTATTTATACTTATACTTCTACTCCTTGCACGCAGTATAAGTGGTCTCACAACAAACTGAAAACTCAAATAGCGACTGAGTGTATCTTATACCCACCGTATAAGATACGCATACTTCTACTCTTTGCACGCAGTATAAGTGGTCGCAAAACACACTGAAACTCAAATAGCAGACTGAGTGTATCTTATACTTATACCCCGGTACACTTATACATATATAGAGGCATGACACGACTTATACGACTTCCACCCCCGGATGAGATGGAGTGCCCTGTATAAGTTGATGGGCACAACCGGCTGGGAGTCGGACTCGTAGGGCAGCAACAACAAACAACGTGCTCGAGTGAAGTGTTTACAGATACTCTGGCTTGGAGTATCTTGTGGATACTCTCTTATACATCTGTGCGTCTATATCTGGCCGTCTGAACACAACGCACTCTCTGTGTGCGACTCTCAGCGGCCTCCTGCTGCACGATGCCGATGCGATGGGGAGATGTATTTCCCAGATACTCGTTCTTTGGCGGTCGGCGCGTCGCGAGCTTCGAGGTTTTAGTTCGGTTTTAGCTCTGATTCCGTGAGGACGCTCGCCAGAGGAACCGCTCCGCGTTCCGTACCGTTATTTGACTCGGGGACCTCGCACGGGGCCTACCGCTCACCCACACTTCTGCAACACACACACACACGCACACACTCGTACGGGCAGCACTCGTGCCGCGATTACAACGCCAAATTATCGAGTCTGCGCCAACATCCAGCGGATGGCAAGT